TCCACATAAGGAAATTACACAAATGAGATTTATTTGTTTTAGGAGGGGGGAGTGAAAAGATTGGAATTGGGCCACTCAGACTCCAGTGAAAAAGTTGGATACGGGTCGCATTTGGGCAAAAAAAGCGGATTTGGATCACATTTGGCTGCTATGTGAATGAAGCCTTTGGCTCTTAGAGTGATTCAGAAAGTGCTAATCTAACTTATTTCTTCATATCGGTAACAAAATGCTTAATAAAAATCATATTTATATCCATTCATCCATCTGTCGCATCCATAACTTTTCATATACAAATGGCTAACTTAGAACCAGTCATCCATGTTTGGATATTGCAAAGTACCCAGAGAAAACTCACACATTCACCAAAGTAAATAAAATAATTGCTCTCAGACAGGCATCAGGACCTTTATGGTGTAAGGCAGCTGGTCTAGCCACAGCACTGACCAGCCAAAGCAAAATGGAAAAAAAAACAAAAAACTTCTGACCATTTTACACAAAATTTCAATGGTGAAATTCCCGAAAACCTCCTTGATCCCAAACAAACCCCGGGAGTTTCCTGATTTTCAGAAGAGGGTGTGGTTTACATGAGAAACCATTTAGATAAGACAGAGAACAAGTTCATTAGCACAGTTAGCTAACTAATGCACACCATCCACAATTAGCCTCGAGGAGAGCAAGTGGGAGAAACCGAGTCAGATCCCTATCGGCGCCCGTCTCTGAAAACGAACACAATGGCTCAACGCCCTATCTCGGGAATCAGCGTCTGATTGGGAAACATCCGTGACGAGGAGTGAACACAAGACAGAAGATCAGTGTGGAGACTCGCTTAAGGACATACTTGTAGAGAGAATGAGAGGGAAAGAGAGAGAGAGGGAACTCGCTGGGTGTTCCACATCAGAGACCCGGCTCTCCGAACAGCACAGAGAGGAGCCGGCTATCAGATTGATAGTGACTCATTCAGCTCGCTCCTCCACCGTTCCACACAGAAAAGACAATCAGAGAACATGAGGCAATCGTGGACAGCACTTGACATGACTTACTAAAGTAGAGATGAAATGCGGCGAACACACACACACACACAAAAAAAAGAGTGTTCAATTACAGGATGTAGATTGTAAAAGGCTTTTGTTGTTACTCAGCAAAAGGGAAAACGGGCATGGAGGTGCTTCAATAGAGTCACCAAAGCAGGTGGGCTTGTTCCGAGTCAGCCCACCTCATTAAAAGGCTTCGCTCGCTTTTAATGTGGCGGACATTAACACGGCCCATTCAGATGCACGCACGCGCGCTGTGATTAAAAATTATCTGTTGGTGATCCTAATCACAGCTGCTTAAACTTAAGCCAAAGAATAACAAAGAACTTCTGAATGCCGAAACTATCGGAACATTTACAAAGAGATTAAAGGGGAGACAGTCTCCAACTAAATAAATTTGCTTTTAATCACTTTGAACAGGAAGTCATGTCATTTCAAATGTCCCTATCTGATTGTCTGATTCTCCCCCCTTTATTCAAATTATAACATGCCCATCTGACTTTTCCTGGCACAATGGGAAAAATTAAAAAGGGAAATGACCTTTCGTGGCAGCAGTGATGAGAGAGTGAATGGCATTATTATGCGCCGAGATTAATTTCGGCCCACTTTACGCCGGCCCATTGAGAAAACGCAGCAGGGGCGTGAATGCCTCGCTGTACATCGCTCATTAATCGGCCGGTACATAATACAAATGTCAAGCAAACAAGAGGGAGATGTTGAACCGATAACCTAGCCGCAAAAGTATTCACACCCCTTGAACTTTTCCACGTTTTGTCACGTTACTCGAATGCCAGTGCAGTTAATTGGGTTCTTATGCAACGGACCAACAAAAAGTAGTGCATTTTGGTAAAACAGAAGGAAAACGAGACATGATTTTTAAAGTTTGCGAATAAAAATATGAAAAATGCTCAATTGTAAATAGTAGCGGAATTTCCTACATTTCACCTGTGAATAATTCAGTCTCGGGGTAGTGGTTTGTCAGAATATTTATGAACTGAAACTGTTGAAACAATAACTACTAGAGATGGACTTAAAGTTTTATCACAGTATTTTGTGGTACTTTCCTGATAGAGTGGCAAGAGGAACTCTTTACTTCTTTGACTGCATGGCACAGCAATCAAAGCCCCACAAATACTGCTCTTTAAAACCGTTTTTAATGAGCATTTTTAGGACACCAGTCACATAAAGAAGTATGATTTGTATCACAGTACAACAGTACATGCTTTTAACCAGATTTTCAACTTTACTGAAATTTACTGATACTCTCATTGAACAAAAAAGTGTAGAAAACAGTAAAAAAAAAAAACAGCGATTCCGACAATATGGACTGTTTTGAGATTTTTTTAAAAACATCATAAATGAAAATTTATTGTGAAAACAAACCAAAATTCTTATCACGATAAGAAATTTATCACAATAAATGATAAATTATACAATAAATGCCTAGCCCTACAATTAGTAAGCGCTGCTTGTAGTTAGAAACAAACCCTGTAGGAGAAACAGCAGCATGGAAGGAGGCACTCTGGTCAAATGAGACCAAAATCAAACTTTACATCCTCCTTGCAACATCCAATGTGACGCTGCACATCAGCCTGAACATACCATCCACAAAGTGAAACATGGTGGTGGCTGCATCATGCTGTGTGGGTGTCTTTCCTTAGTATGAATGGGGAATCTCCCTGGATTTGAGGCAGGGACATATCTGAATATCAGAAGGCAGTTCAGGAGTAGCGTTGACTCAGAGAGGCTAAACACAAACGCACGACACACACCTTTATGAAAACAATGCATCATTTCCTTCCTGGTTCACAGTTGTGTGCAACTTTGAGTTGGTCTAGCTTGTTGGTATGTAGATCTTACCCATCGATCTCATCTTCCTCAGCCACTGTCCTATTTAGATCTGCTGAGAGGTTTGAGTGACAGACCACCAGGTCATGTCTGAAAGTTTCCAGTTAACAAAAGTCACCCCATTGTTGCCAACTCAGAGATTTTCTTGCTATATTTAGCAACATTTCAGACACAAAAAAACAAACATAAAAAAACAGTACCAGTCAAAATCCTCAGGATTTTTAAAGATCGAATAACCAGCAATGAGTCAGAAAACTGCAATTGGTGCAACCCTAGAAAGAAAGACTCATGCAGCCAGTTGTCATTTTTTTCTTCACAGATTAGAGCAAAGCACAGGATGTTTTTGATAACTTGGATCCAGACATGTTGTGCTTTTGTAAAACATGAAATATGCATCAAGTCTCATATCACTACCTCCAGAGTTTAACGTCCCTCACTAAAAACAAGAGACGCTTTTTCTTCCATGAATCCCAACTTTCCCCTCTCTCTCCCTCCCTGCCAGCTGCCTGTCCAGCCTCGTGGTTCTGAGCCCCTAATTCTCATTCTAATGGCTAAGTGAACGAGGAAGCATAATTACAGCCAGTCATACATCCAGTCATGCTACATCCATCCTTCTCTTTCACAGCAGTATTTTTAAGCTCAGCGTTTTCTCGCCCAAAAGCACTTTTTTTTTTTTCTTTTTTCCTCTTCCCACCGCTTGTGATGCCTTCTTTTTGTCACGGCCCCCATAGTTCTGAGCTGACCCCCTCAGCCCTGTCTCCTGACTGATCACAGTGATGGTTTATTACTGTCGTCCCAGCGCTCTTATCTTTAGCCAGCAATGCTCATTTCCTTCCCCAGATTTAAATGCAAATGTGAAATTTAATGATAAATGCATTATCTGATAGGTGCGATAACACTGATTCACTGTCAGTATAAAATACACACCCCAGGGGGCTTTGAGCTAGCGAGCGAAACTTGCCCAAATCCACTTTTTTTTTTTTTTTTTTTACAGCTCTCGCTTTTTCATCTCCCTCTTTCTCTCTCTTTTTTTTTACAAACTCATGTACCTGGAATAAATTCTGGAGGTCATTTTATGCAGTAAAAGGAGTCATATTTTGTCTGTTCAGCAGTGTGTGTGCAGGCTTTGGCTGAACAGTGATTGCCGTGCAACAATCTAGCTCCCTCTATTATCCGTCTCTCCCGCAAACATTTTGGAGAAAGTGCATCTAGGCTGGATGATACGACTCTTTTAAGTAGAGCAGTCACTAAAATGTGTCTTGTTTAAATCACCAAATATAACTGAACAGTGTTGACTTTCAACTTATTTATTAATCTTTAGTTAATTTCAACAGTATATAGTTTAGAGAGGTCTTTTGATATTAAAACATCTAAAATATTTCACATCAAAGCTAAGCCTTCAAACATTAGAAAACACTGTAAGAATCCAGCTGAATGTTAGCCTCTAAAGACGCCAAAGTTAGCATCTTCTCTTGGAGCGTCCTCTCCGTGCTAAGCTAAAGGCGTGACTTAAAATGTTATGGCATTTACTGACATGTCAAAAAAAGTGTCAAACTATTTTTAAAAATTGTTGCTTTGGCTGGAAATCTAACAGAGCATCACAAAATAAGCTGCTCTAAAAGATAAACGTCAAACAAGCTACTTCATGACAACACCGTCCTGCTAAACAGTAGAAAATCATTTCAATCAGTCATACTTTAAACATTAACAGCATTTTATTGCTATGTTCAAACAATTGCTCCAACCTGGGTGGTAACAGTGATATGTGGATTTGTAGTATCATCAATTAAGAGTTTATTGCAACTCTGTGAGAGAGTATGAGATTTTTTTAAACCAAGATATTTGTTCTACAATAATGATTAATAAAATGACCCATCTTTGATTTCTAATCTGAAAAGCTTAAGAATAAAAACCGACAGGTCAAATCTGGACTTAAGTTGTTGATTTATGAATCATTTTCTCAAAAGAAAATGTGGATTCTTACTTTGATCATAAATCTGGATTTACATTACATTAGAAAACCTTATAATGGCGTCACTGATGATGATGATGATGTCACCACCAAAACATCTTTCCTTTAAACCATGCAGGGCAATAAAGTGATAGAGATGATGCTCTTACTTGGACCATCCCATTCTTCAGGCCCTGCAGCAGCATTCCTGCTCTTCTCTCCTTGGCCCTCCATCTCCACATCTCCTGCTTCTCGGTTGCCGTCCTCTTCTCCTACAAAAGGTTAAATTAAAAAAAATAAAAAAAAACATAAGTCCCACAAAGCACACATGAGAGCGAACGTCTCCACAAATTTAATGTTCAGAGACCTAATTTAATTAAGTGCTTGCATTATGGACTGCTCTGCCCTTCCAGAGGGTACGCTCTTATGGACTTTGGATCGTGTCCCAGCAAGAATCACTTGCTTTTATAACTCTTTCCTGCAATATTTGAGCCATTGTGTGGTTGTTGCGCATGTATAGCTTTGTACATGCGCGCCTGCGATGAGCTCACCGGGTCCAGCTGTGTACTTCTGTGTGAAAGGCCTTCCCATGAGGACTTGCGGGGACAGGAGGAAGCACCGTGGAACAGGAAGGAAAGCAATGTGTGGGAGAGAGGTGGCTATTTATTACCCTTTGATCTATTGTGGAGCGAGCTAGAATGTGTGTTATAGGATGTAGGGGGCTGATTTACAGTCTCGGGGCTCATACATACACACACACACGCTCTGCTAAAGGATATTTGGGTATCTCTCTGCAGGATGTAAGTACCTAAAAGGCCGAGTTAAACACAGTCTGCGGCGGTAGCGCCGAATGGGAGGGCTTGTTGAGCGCTCGCTGATACACTTACTGTAAAAATAAAATCTATTTTTGCATGTCTACAGTAAGCACAGTTTGTGCTCAAAGTTTATGGGAACATAAATCAGCGCTTAGGAGGTGCCTCCAGTGCGTCGCTCTGAATAAATCCAATGTGGCCGACACAGCGGCTGCACAGTGTGTCTCCGAACTGCAAAACCCGCCCGGGGCGTGCGGCGGTGGCGGCGGCGGCTGATGGCTTGTAGTGGAACATTTTCCTTCACTTTTGTCACCAGATCTATTTCACTCCTTTGATGTTTTAAACCCAATAGTGAACGGTCAAGGACAGGCAGGCCAGGATTAAAACGATGGATTACTTTATGCATTCTCCACAGAAAAAGGACGCAGACAGTGTCATTTATTGGAACCCTGGATAAAGATGTGTCGAAAGCCTTGAAATACAGTAATCTTTTTGCAGTAGTGTAACGTCCACTTAGTTTTGTCCTTTATGTGTTTCATAAGATGGGAACGTGCAGAGAGACGGATCTTTGACGATCACTGTAGATCATCTACAGTGCTGGTTAGCCTCTCCTTTCTTTAGTTCACCATAAAGTGGTCATTTAGATCTGAGGACTGAGATGGCCATGGAAGAACGCTTACTTACTGTCTGGTGATCTATTTCTGTGTTGATTTGGGTTTACAAATCAGAAAGTTGTGGTGTCTGGTAAACCTAAAGTCACTGGATTTTCATTTATAGCCCTTTAGCTGTCAGGAGAACACTGGTGTCCTCATGGACCTGCACTGACTTGCATGCAAGTGCTTTTGGGTACCAGTAAAGGGTTAAACCCTCCTTGTAGTTTAGGCCTCATAATGCCATCAATATTCACAAAGTTCCCAGGACTTTTGGCAGAAAGGGGAAACCACAGTATTTCATACCCTCTGTTATTTTGACAGTGAGCATAAAGTGTATTCCACATGTCAATCCTATTTTACACCAAACCCTCCACAGCTGGTTGTCAAAAGAGATCAATATGAATCTCATCTGACCAGAAAACACAGCTACAGTTAAAGTCTCTGCAAACTGAAAATAAACTCTACATGTTTTTGTTTATCATGGTTGAGCAGAAACAGCTTTTTCCTGCTGTGCCTCCCTAACAACGATTACAGTTCAGGAAGACTGTAGACATTGGCGTCTGCAGTAGTGCTGCGATGGTTTCTACTGTACATATTAAAGCATATTAAGTTAAATTTAGTGTTTGAATTATTAAAATCTGCAATTCTAGGTATTTTCAGAGGGGGGTCTTCAGTTTTCATGAGTGATTTTAGTCCTGAAACCCTGTGGAAATGGATTGTTACTGTATTTTGAAGGTATTTTTCAGGAGTACCAATCGTGCCAGTGGTGACTTTGGTTAAGACAAATATTTCCAAATATGGGACTTTTTTTTCAGTGAAGAATAGTACTGACATTATTTTTTTTTTCTGCCAATATGTCACTTCAATAAAATGTAAATTTGTTTGAATGCTGTTTACACATCTTTACCAGTGGTGTCCATAAACAGGGTCAGATTGATGAAAACCTATCCTCTTTTCAACCTGAGAACCAACTCGATATGCTGCAACCGTCACTATATAAAATGTCTATCGTTGGTTGTTTACTTTATGTTTGTGATTTCCAGCTTTGCGCTGTCACACTTCCTGTGCCACAGCCCACAGGACACTGTCCATCCTCAGTTTGGTTCATCTCCAGATCAAGCACTCACACTGTGCTTGTTTAGCTTTTTTTTTTTTTTCTTCCTGACCTGGCTCACTTCAAAGAAGGCAGCAAATGTTGCCAAAAGGATGTCAGCTTTCTGCCTCACTAAAATAGGAGATGCACTGAAAAAAAAAAAAAAGGGAAACGGAAGGGAAGTCTTCAGAAATGTCCTACTTACAGTCCATGAGGTCATTATGACCCAGTTTTGCTTATACAAGTGTCTGCCTGGGCTGGCAATTCTCCCGCCGCTCCTCCTTCCTCCCAGTGTATTAACAAGGAGCCCAATCAACTCAATTCCCCCCACTATTTATTGTTGGGCCCGGAGATCCTCTTTAGCATACCAGGCTCGTATTATGATGAGCATAACAAAGGCGTGTATCAACAGTTCCTTCCAATGGAGCGGAGTTTGCGGGGAAAGAAAAAAAAAAAAAAGAGGAGCTGACGAGATAACATTAAAGGCACTACCTTGATCTCAGGCGAACATGCTAAGCCCTGTAACGAAACGTATTGGAAGTGTTTAATTACAGCCCGGGAAATGAAGCTACAAGATGATTCCTTAATTAAGCAGTGATTAAGGATTTTCTGCCTTCTATCTAATGCAGTTTGCAGTGCATTTTAAACACAATCGCCCAGGCAACCTCACAGGGAACAATGTCACAAGGCTTTGATGAAGTTTCCGGGCACAAACGTTCATAGGAAAAAAAAAAAAAAAGGCAGAGGAGTGGAAGAAACGCTGCAGCAGCATTCCACTGATTCGCAGCTGCAGTTTAACATTTTTAAAGATCCATCTGATATGAACCAACTGATTGAGGTGCTCCATTTCATTTCTGCTCTAAGTAATCGAGACTCTGCCTTGTTTCATAATTCGAAATGAAACCCTCTGCGGTGTTATCAAAGAAGACAGATTGTCAATGATCTTCCTCGACATTATCGACTGTAATTTACGTCCGGCTCGGGCCCCCTTTCGCAATTCGGATCGAATGGTCGCATTTAAGGATGAGTGGAGGAAGACTAAGGAGGGCAGGAGGGACGGGGGGAGGGGCCGGGGAGGCGAGGCGAGTTAGAGCGGCCCGCTGCGTTCTGGGTTGGCGGGCATGGAAGAGGAGCCAGTGAGCTGTTAAAATCAGCCCTATCGCCGCTCCATCAAAGGACGGCTCTCCAGCCAAATCACAGCCGCACGCAGCGGGCCACGCATTCGGGTCAATAAGCTTATAGGCGATTTACACAAACAATTCCTCGAGCAAGGTAGCAACAAAGTCATATTGGCTTTTCCTCTCCCTTTTAGCTTTGTCTCTGCTCAGAAAAGCCCTTGAAAAATGTCAATCTGTCGTGTGTGACTTTAAGGAGCTCAGAGCTCTCTAATCCTGACCACAGATTCTAAAGACCGTTCGCAACGGCAATGTATCACAATAAATAATTTTGGAAGCTAATATCGTAATGCGAGTTGTTGCTTCTTAGAGAAAGATGTCATTTTGCAGCAAGTTTGTAGAAAAGTGAAGAACTACTCAAAAGTCTAACAGTTGAGGTCTCTGCTTTAGATGATCATGTCCACCGATCTCATAGCCACCCCACTGTTACCAACTCAGTGACTTTCTTGATATATTTAGCAACATTTCAAAATCTAAATTTGCAGGTCAGGCTTTTTAAAGCTTGGTAATCAATAAAACTGCAATTGCTGCACACCTCGATAAAATATCTGTCCACTTCAGGTAAGCGAACTATTACTGATAATATCAGAACTTTACATGAAATAAATCTGAACTATACCTTTAAGGTATGTACTTTGGAGTTTTAGACTTTATAATTTGAACCTACCCACACTTTGTAAACCCATTGCTGTAGCTGGGTTGTGATTTCAGGACATTTGATTGGAGGACTGCTGTTCCCCCCTCCTTCTGCCTCTGATACGGGATGCTGCCATGTCGATGCAGATTATGCCACAAGAGATGAAGTCAGTTCCAGAAAGCAACCTTTTTTCACTAAAGTCAAGCATAGCTGTAAGACTTCTCTGCTATCTGACAAAAAAAAAAGAAAAAAAAGAAAGTGGGGGTTTGGAATTGCCATGCAATTTGTGGCGGGGACAGCACTCCAACGGAGGGAGGCTATTAGAGAAATGCCTTGGCACTGTCTCTTTAAATGCCAATAAATTCCCATCATTACAGAATCTGGCAGTTTTCCTCCCCGTCTGCAGCCTGGGCCTTTATCTCGTTCTGCCTCAGTCTTTGAGCATGTAGATCTGGCCCAGTTAGATTGTCATACTTAACAAACATTAATGATTAATTTCCTCCACTGAGTCAAATGGGGCTAAAGGGATGACTCGATTCATCTTATCGCGCTGCAAATTAGCATTTCCCCATATTCTCCAGCATCAACTGTGCATTAAAAATTCCACATTTACCATTCCGGGCACTGGCAGCTGTGAAAGGCGATCTTTCCTCCTGTGTTGCTGGAGATTCTGATTACTTCTGCGTTACACAAAGACTAATTAATTCTGGGACTCTCTCCCTGCCCCGCTCCATGCCTCCGACTGAAGCGAGCGAATTTCCTCACAGAGAGGATATTGAGGGGTCAAGGTGGGTTTTTCATCCGCTACGCCAAAAGTCCTGCAGCCCTTGCTTTCACCTACCGCTTCTGCTCTGATAAAATGTTTCCACCCCATTGGAATTCCTATCGTTTGTAGAGGACGGTGCACGGGAGCGCGAGCATCCAGGTTTACTTGTTATTGATATATCCTGACACACAGGGAGCGACAATAAAAATCAGGCAGTCTGAGGGCAAAAAAAATAAAATAAAATAAAAAATCATGGAATATGACTTCCCAAAGGTTTTTTTTTTTTTTTTTTTTTTTTACACAGAGGAAATGAGACACAAGAAGTGACATGTAAATTTACTGTCGCAGCCGAGATGGGAAGTCATTTGTCATCAGACAAGACTTGGACCGCTCAAAGGGAACAGCTTGTGGCAACATCCTGTGCTAAACTCCACATATAGCCAGCAATAAAACGGGGGGTAAACCAGCAAGGTGAAATTTCACAGTTTCAGTAAAAGAAAAAAAGAAGAAGGAAAAAAAATATGCCACTGAAAAGGAGTCTTTTTCACAATTCCAGAGCCTGGCGCTTTCAGCGGGGAATAAATCTTAGCTGTGGAGTCGTGCGTATGTGTGTGTGTGTGTGTGTGTGTGTGTGTGCGTGTGTGTGTTCATCTGCATGCTTTTTCACAAACAGAAAAAGCTCCCATAAATGTGAAATTGAGGGGAACTTGTTTCAGGTAAGATTCTTGTTTAATCACCTGAGAGAAGAAAGGTTATTTCTTTATATGTTAGTCCATTTGTCTTCGCGACTTTGAGAGGCGGACAGGCTTTCTTTAAAATGCCATGTACGTTAAAACGCGTTTGTTCTCCACGGGGTGCTGATCCGTTTTCCCCCAGTTGTTTTGAGCTGAGCGTTTGAAACACAGCAGACACCTTTAGAGGCGATAAAGACTTTCACTGTAAAAACTTCTTGAGGTTGGACTTTAATAAATGCGGGTTTCTGTCACAATTATCGCAATTAATTGCCATGGCTTGACGAAAATGTGCTAATTGAAGTTGATTTAAGCAAATCGAAGGCAGTGGATATATTTTGAAATATTGTCCAATTTACAGAAGCAACTCCTTTAACCTCTCCACAATTGTTACCAAAATAGGTCCCAAACTTTGACGTATTTTATTAGGACTGAATATGACCGACATAAGGTATTGTATAACTAAATAAAAATGACACAGCAAACAGTTTTAATATGGTTGTAGCTGCAATTACAGTTTCAAATCCTTCGGGGAGAGCATTTACTCTCAACTTTTGCCTCAGAATCGTTATTTTAATGTAGCGTTGAACTTTGACTAGGCCATTCGAACACACGAATACACTGATTTAAGCCGCTAGAAGGTGAACCTCTGTCCTGATCTCTTGTGTTTTTGCTGACTGTATTACTCTACACTCATCTTCCCATCAACTTTGACCAGTGCCCTTGTCTCTGCTAAAGACAAGCTTTCCCACAACATGACGCTGCCACTACTGTGTCTCACTGTAGCTAAAAAAACAGGCTGAAAATATAAACTTTTCACATTTTGATTTGTAAAAATAAAATTGAAAACCATGTTTCCATCTTTGTTCCTTCCACTTCCTTCACAATAATATTCCACATTGTGTTGGTCTTTCTCTCAAAGTACAGATGCACCGATCTGCTTTTTTCACCTCAGATACAGACGGCGATACCCGAGGTTCAGTATCGGCCGATACGGATCTGATGCAGAAAAACAGAGCCAAATTGACCTAAACCATTTCTTTTCTTTTTTAAAAAAACAAAGACTTAAATGTATTGAATTGCAAACTTATATGATAACTCTGCACCAGTACAGCACACTGAAATACACCAACAGCTTCACAAGGTTGGACAAACATGTAAAAGAACAACACAACTTTAATCTGTCCAGAAAACTGAGACAGAAACAATAGTTGTACTACCTTGTTCAAACATGTAAAAAGTAAACTGCAACAAACCTTCTTTGAAATGGTTCAGAAAATTCAATTACGAATTCTAAATATAATGTAAAATAAGTAATAAAGCATTATGTCTCTCAGAGAACAAAGCATAGAATTTAACTGAACAGATCCGTCCTTATGGATCAGCCACCGACACCCTGGATTTGTTTTCAATATCGGGGCCGATACAGATATTAATATCAATCAGTGCATCTCCAATCAAAAGGCAATCAAATACATTGACGTTTGTGTTTGTGAGAAAATGTGAAAAGTTAACGTTGAAGAAGTGTGGATACTTTTGCAAGCCACTGTACAGAGGTTAAAAGGGAAAAACAAAGATCTCATATGTAGATGTATTGGAGCCTAAGCAGCCGATGATGAGGTGAAGAGATTCACAGAAAACCAAGGTGCAACTTCTGGAAGTGACTTTGGGAAGGTGTGGAAGAAATGAGCGCCGATATGTCAATAGCCCCCAAAACCCCATGAGAGTGCAAGGCACAATGAAGGACTCAACCATGAAGGGACTTCAAGGTTCCCTGGCCTCAGACCACAAGCGGGACGTCAAGGTGCTCCGCACACTTATCTAGGGGAGTTCCCTTTTTTCTGCGAGGGTAAGGCAAAATGGCTGAGTCTTTGGTGGCATTCAACTTCCTGACCTTTGCGCCTTTAAGCGGCTTTGCTTCTTCACCGCTCTCTGATCAAAGTTAATAAGTGCTTCATATGTTAATGAAAATTGGTACTCCTCTTTGTGTTCCTACAGCTTTTTAATACCTATTATAGACTGAAACTTTTAATGGAGGTTTTAGGTCCCCCTGACAAGCCCATTTCAGAGAGTGACTACACAGATACAAGGCTAAGCTAAGACCGGAGAGCCGCTGCTCAGTGGAGGAACCTCACACGGGAGACCTTATTCTCGGGGAAGCAGCCGGAGATAAAGGCCATGGGATGAGTGGCTGCCTTAAAACCCACGTTCAAGTCCGCACAGGGCTAATTACAGCATGCCATCGCATTTGAGAGGGTTTAGTTAATCAAGGGCTCTCTCTCTCTCTCTCTCTTTTTTTCCTTCCTATAGTCGAGGAATAACACACTTAAACCATTTAATGCCGCCAGGATTGCATCCTGTTTAATTCGCAGCAATTTCACATAAGTGGGGTAAATTTAAGCCACTATGACATTAGTTTTATACAGATCTAATTGAGGAAGGGATCATAAGGGAGGGAGGGTGCGGCTACACCTGAAGATAGCACCGAGTTTGGCACGCGGAGAACCGAGCAGTGGATAGTACATCGCTTAGGTCTTAGGAGGCAATGGGGGGACTTAGCTACTGTAAGCTTAGATAGGGAAGTAATACAAAAAAATCTGACTGCTAAGGCTTGTGTGTGACAAGAAACAGATTACCAATGCCCACAGAAAGAAGTATTTGACATTTGGGATTGCTGTGTAGTGTTGAGTTTATTTTAAAAAAATAAAATAAAAATAAAAAACACGGAAAGAAGGTTTGAGTCCTAGTTTCGGGAGGTTTTATCCAAAACAAAGGGAGTATCAAGCGGCTCTTTCAAGGTTCTTTGAAGATTTCCGGAACTTTTCGATTTTTTTTTGCCCCGCTCAACCACTGCAGCTGCCATTGTATACAGCGCCCATCTATTTCATGGCTATTGGGTATATTAGAGGCTCAGTGTGTTGTACTTTGAAGTTTAAGGAAGGGTACAATACGAGGAAGACAAAGAAACGGGGCGAAACAACCGAGACGTCGCCGGTAATTGCAATTTCTAAACAATTGCAACTTTTTCGCCCTCCCCCGAGAACAAAAGAAAAACGGTATTGATACGATTACTGGGGTGAAGCCTACCCGGAACATGAAAGATTTGTTTTGTCCCGACTAATGTAATCCCACGAGGCACATCAGTTTAGAAGTGTGGAAGGAATAGCTCTAAACAAAATGTTTCCTTTGAAAAACGAACGAAGGGGCAGACATTCAAAGCACCGGTTCTTCATTAAAAAGTCAAATTTGAGGGTTTCGTTTGCCAACGAGAGCGGAGGAGGGGGGGCCCACCTGGGGCCAGCAAGCGCCACACAACCCGAGGGTACGAAGAGGACGGTTCGGCTGGGATACGGGGCGGGATGGTAGGGGGGGAGCCTGTCATCTTCACATTGTAACCCGAAGCAGACCGCAAATTAGCTCCTGTGATGGCAAGGTGTGACTGAAATGAAACAAACACACAAAGAGGCAATCTAATTGAATTGCAGTTCAAAGAGGACCGGAGCGCGCTTGGCGACGCCGCGGCGCTTTAAAGTGCTGGACCTCGGAGCAGCGGCAGGTGCTGGCGAGCGTGCGCAAGGCCTCTTGTTGGCCCGGCATATACCACAGTCGGACCTCACAGCGCTATCATTGTCAAAACGAATTTTTCAAGCAAATTTTAAAAAGGTAGGGAGGCCATCTTCCTCTCAGATCAAACCGTCGCTCCCGGAATCAAATATCAGGACTCAAGGTATGACTCTCAAACGCCTATAAGCTCCGCCAGGAATATTTGAGTAAGTTTTAAGTTAACTTTTAGGGTTTTGGTGTCAGCGTTATGCTCAATATCCACCCCCTCTCACCTTTGTTGCAGAAGTACTCCATGTCTTCGCAGTTCATGTTCTCGCTCTCAAACTCAGCCGTGAAGTTCTCCTCCACCGAGAACTCGTCTTTGGCCAGGAGCTCGTTCTCCTCCGAGACACACTCCTCCTCTTCTTCCTCGAGGCCATCCTCCAGAGGACCTAAGGGAACACACACGCACATGCCCACACGCACACGCACACACACACGCACACACACACACACACAGACACACAAGGGGGAAATGTTCAGAAGTTTCATCACATCCTTCAGGCTTTCAGGAATAAATAAAGAACTTCTGCTTCTCTGTTTCTTGCAATCCAACCCATTCACATGCAACTCTTAACTGTCTACGCTCTCCATCTACGTTCAGGCGTTTAGTTCAGGTGCAGACAATAAAAAATGTTGGTTTTTTTTGTTTTTTTGCTGCAATATTTCACAAAGTCTTTCCACTATAGCTGCAGCTGAAGCCCTTTGTGAACGGCGTGTTGGTGAGAGAAGCGAGTTGACACACAGCCAAGGTGAGCCTGATGTTAATCCTTCTACCTGCAAAACAAAACCTCACACAGATGGAGAGGGGAAAAAAGATCCTTTCTAGACTTTTCATACAGGCATCAGCATGGGAGGGGGAAAGAAAATACTTTTATTAATTTGTTAGCCTTATCACAGGGTACAATGTTGATTTTCCATTTACATTCCATGCCTCCGGGTAATACACCAGTGCAATCTTAAAGGAGACACTTTTCCGTGTGATTAATTTTTTCTTTCCCCCCCTCTCTCCCTCTCTCTGTGCAATATTATTTCTTTAAATCTAAATGATTTCAGAGTTTTGCTCGTAGCTGTACATCTCTTTTTGGTATTTGCATATTACAATTTTTGGCTTCAATCAATTGCTGTTGATGGAATTACTGTACTGCTACCTGAATTGTATTAGTTCTTAGGGGGGGGACATCTCACCCGGCTCCTGAATGTTATTAAGATAATGGTGCATCTTGCACACATTTCTGTGTCTTGAAAACATGTCTGCAGTGTATTTTTCTTTTCTTTTTTTTTCTGGGAATTACCATAAAAAAGAGAAATGATGAAACACGATGAGTTTTAGTTTGTTTCTAAAAGAAAGAAAAAAAGGGACAAACGACAGAATTAGCTTTTTATTATATTTATAAAGGAGGAACCGTATCAGAAATGGAGCTTTTAGTGGCAGTAGTGCAGTTTTTATAAACAAAAAAAAAGTTATTTTAACACAGTTTCTACATATTTTATTAATTAAAAAAAAAAAAAATCCATAGTTTTCCAGACCTCAGTTTCTAGAGTGATACAAATTGTAAGATATGAGCTTCTTGTGGATCTTTACATTACAGGCAGGTTTCATGTTTGGAACCTGCACCAACTAGAGACTGACGGACTGAAGGACACAAGGAAGGAAATAAGGAAGCAAGGGGACAAGGATCTGAGAAAAAAGACAACAAATGCGAAGGAAGGAAGGAAGGAAGGAAGGAAGGAAGGAAGGAAGGAAGGAAGGAAGGAAGGAAGGAAGAAAGGAAGGAAGGAAAACAAATACAAGTAAAGGAATATGGAAGGACACAAAAAAGAACAAAGAATTGATACAAAAAAGGAAGGAAGGAAAGGCAGTGAGGAAAGCATGGAAGAACGAAAGGAATGACAAGGAAGAAAGGAAAGAAAGTAAAATTGGAAAGAGTCACAGGGAAGGGAGAAAGGAAGGACACAAAGGACAGAAAAGGGTAAGAAGGAAGGTTAAATCGGGAAAGATGCAACAAAGAAGTAAACAATAATGGAAAGAAAATGAAACAATGAAGGAAAGAAAGGCAGGGCACTAGGCTGAAATGGGGACAAAAGGAAGAAAATAAGTAAGAAAGGATGTGGAACTGGTATAAACACACAAGGACATAAAGGAGGAAGGAAGGACACAGTGAAGCAAAGAAGGGAGGAAGGAAACAACTTTCAGACAATGGTTCAAGGGATTTAGTCTAGAAATGACATTTTACTATACTGGACTTTCTTTTTCCATACTTAAATTTAAAAAAAAAAAATCCCAAACCCACTTCGAGTTTTCCAGAAAGCTTTTTTGTTTCTACAGTAGAACTTTGATAAATTTCTTGCAAAAAAAGAAGCAGTAGAGTCAACTGGTGATGCATTTCATGTCCCACTTGTCACCTGAGTCCTGTGTCTTCATCACTCCAACAGGGCGCACTCATCTCCTCTACAAGCCTCTCAGTGTTTGTTCTTGTTGCAGGAGGGCAGCTGGACCCTTCAGCTTTAATAAAGCAATAATTTCAGCTCAGAAAATCACGGGGCCGGCGGGCCTCTTCCCGTTTCTCTTTCTTCCCTCATAAAAAAAAAAAGGAGTGGGGACCCCCCCTGATGTCCACAAACCGCTTGCTCTTTTCATTAGTCTTATAAATTACTCCTTTGTAGAATCCGGCGTCGGCAGGAGCCCCGGACATGAAAAAGAATTAGCGGCCAGCTCTCTAATAGACGCTGCGGAGGGCCAAGTGGCGCTTTTTTAAATGAGGATACAGTTTTATGATCTTATCTGATGCCTTCTGCTGATTCGCAGAGGAGTGAAGTGAGGCGTGAAGTGACTCGATGAGTCCACCATCGCTGAGGATGATACCAGGAAGATAAATATCACGGTATCAAGGCGAGGTGGGGCGGTGTGGGGTGGGGGGAGCTTGTATGACTGGCGTTAAAAGCTTCTGCCGAGGCAAATGAAGACGGCGTGAGAGAAAGCAAGAGAAGGGGGGGCAAATACATTTCTATACTGCTATACTGCGCGGTTTGTACACATTCCATTACACAGCTGAATGAGAACCGTGTGTACAACTAAATGATTCTTCCTCTGTTGCTCGCAAAAATACAGCAGCGCCGGAAAATAGACCTACAGTGTTGCGAGATAATAAGAGTAAAGGGAGATTACAGATAAACTTCATGGTCAATAAGACACAGAGATTAGGTAGATAAGATGAGATAGAATTGAGGTTTAATAGACTCAGAATAAGGGCATCTCACTTCCCCACTCTAGCAGATAGTAACTAAATGGAGCATTTTCAGACTGATAGAGATACTGGTGGGCCTTCCTGAATATGGAAAGGAATAAAATATTCCAGACATTAAAAAGGGGGGGGGAGCCCCAGCAGGGTGAGGGGGGGGGGCTACTTCTCGAGAGCCACGTAGATTGCGAAAAAGTTTGCCCCCACATCCTCACATGTTTAGCTTATTATACAGTATTCATTGCATGGAGAGACCTGAAATTATTTCAGAGACAGCAATGATAAGAATAATGACTTTCTAAACGACCAGCACCACACTCCTAACTCATTTTCTGATAGTGGCGTCCCTGCTATATTTAGTTGTGTACTGTTTAAAATCCTGTCACATTCTCCATGTGACCCACGCTCGTCGGTGCATTTCTATAGGGGGGGCTTGAGGGTTTGTGGGGATGGGGGTGAGGGGGTGGACGATGACGAACTGGGCCAGAGGAATGTGTTTGCTGCCTCTGCCGCTCTTATCGAGCCTCCTCCGGAGTTCAGATGGCCAACGACACAACGGAGAGGACGCCTGCATCTCACTGCACCGCCCAAAACAACACAGTGTGGGTTTGTGGCGGCGGACTTCACGTGTCGATTGTGATGTGAACTGAGACAAGAAATATAAACAAACATTCTTTACTAGAAAAAAGAAGAAAGTTTAGCTAGCGACAATCGATTCCCTTTAATAGCTTTTCAAATGTTTTATTTTTATATTAGAGTAACTAGATTAATGGATGGGTAAACTTAAATGGTTTGTTTTCTGTTTTGTACATCTGATCTGCAACATGTTGGGCATTATGGCTAGGTCATAAATTAATTTTACTGATTAATTTTCTAAAATTTTCTATTTTGGAAGATTTCATTTTTGGAAAATCTGCATTTTTTTTCACCAGTGTTCCAACTATCCCATTAAAGAACTACCAACTCGTTTCTTTCTTGTTTTTCAACTTTGAATTCAGGTCAATTCACAGAAGAAGTGAATGAAAGAAAAGAGAGAGAGAGAGAGATGGTGGGATGAGTGGGTTATTGTAGTTCCATTTTTCTTTAAAATAGAATGGACTGTCAACCCTACTATTTATAGATCTCTGTTAATTATGATGATGTAAAGCACTTTGCACTCCCTTGTTGAAATGTGCTGTATACATAAACTTGACTTGACTTAATAATTGTTCGTTCTTAATAAATATATGAAGGCCAGGTGTACTGCGACTTTTCCATGTGTCTCTGCTTTAACGCATCGGAGTCAAACATTGACGTCCTTTGTGGGACTCTGGTGAACTTGACTGTATACTGAGAAGGTAATTCAGACATTTTATTCAGGTTGATGGACGAGGTGCACGTCAACTTTGAAGCCTGGATTTGAGGAACCCTGAACTCGGCATGTAGAAACCATCTCTCAACCAGGGTTCCTGTCCAGGAGGGCGACGGGACAGTAAAACATTACATTATTTCTTTCTTAGTTAAGATCCGTCTCTCTAAGCACTGTTCTGTTGCCGTCACCACAGCTTCATCTGGTGAAGGAAATTCAAGCTACTGTTAAGAGCCTGAGACACAATACTGAAGTAAGACAGGAAATACAGCTTATTCCTGGGATTCACATGGGCTTAGTCCCTCTAAAAACAGGATAATTTAATAGTTCAAACATCAGGTATGCCTTAATATGTAATTTATACACAGTGAAGACAATCTAAGTTCTACATCAGAAGCTAACTTCTACAATTAGTATGCCTCATTTCCCTCCTCTTGGCTCTGATTGGTTGTTTTTGACCAGGAGCTGTGAATTTCTTTAGACTTCAATAGCAGCACAGGGAGGAAGTTGAGGAACTCAATATTTTCACAGATTATCCATCTCATTTTACTGTCATGACATGGTGGCAGTTTGAACAAATGTGTAAAATAATATATTTTTTTCTAAAATCAATCAATCAAGTTTTATTTGTATAGCACATTTCAGCAGCAAGGCATTTCAAAGTGCTTTACATAATTAAAATGAAAACAGCATGTGACATTGAATAAACAGTGAGAAAGAGAAGGAGATTTTGAAAAAGATTAAAAAAGATAAACACATTAAAACCCGCACCCCTTTTAGGACTTCAGTTAAACGTCGTTTA